CCTGTCACCAGGGCAGTGTGGGACTGAGCGATTATGCTTTAGGCAGTCGCCCCTACCGCACTAAAAAACCCCTTATTTACACCTACAGTCAACTTCCGGTATCGCTTTCGCATTCCGTCAGAAGTTGAAGTAATTGGTGACTCTTGGCCGTGCTTCGGCTCTATCTTTTTTACCAGCTTGGATTTGTCGTCATATTTTAAAATAATAAATTATATGATTGAAGAAAAAACTTCATAAATCTTTGGTCAGTAATTAAAATATTTTCTATTGCAGAACATTTCTTTGTAGCTTCATCACATGTCTGTGTCTTCAGCTTTTTTTATAAATAGGACTTCTTTTACAAATCTGTCAACTAAGTTCCAATTTGTGTTTGATTTAAGCATAATTTTGATTATTGTGTTTGGGGAGCAAATTTCCTGTATTTGATCTTCCAGTCTTTGTTTTATATCACTCCATCGTTGACATTTAAAGAATGTGTGGATAACATTGTCATCTTTGTCTTCACAATATCTACATTTGCCGTTATCTATTTTTTGCATCCTGTGTAAGTAATGGCGGAAATAGCCATGTCCCGTCAGCTGTTGGGTCAAGTAGAAATTTACCTCTCCGTGCCTTCGTTTATACCAAGGCTCCAGTGTATCGATTAGTTTAGCTGTCCATCTGCCTTTTTTGCTGTTGTCCCATCTGCTTTGCCATTGTTGCATAGATGTATTCCGAGCTTCTATCTTTATCTGATTAATATTCGCATGATCTCTTTTGATATAAATTGATTTACGCTCATTAGCCAATAAATCAATAGGGATAATTCCAGCGATGACTAATGCTGCATTTGCAGATACTGTTCTGTAGCAGCATGTCATTCTCAGGGCTCCTTGAACTTGGACATCCGTCATGGGCTTCCTGGTTATCTCCGTCTTGAGCGCATCCGCGAAAATTTCTGCTCCATATAGCATGATGGATTGAGCTACCGAAAGTAATATCTTCCTTTTGCTCGGTTTTGGTCCTCTTACATTTGCCATAAGTCTACACAGGTTTGTAGTCACCTCTAAAGCTTTGTTTGCTGGGCTTCTTATTTGTTCTGCTAATTTCAGTTTTGTGTCGATCTTAATACCGAGGTATTTAATTGCAGTTTGCGCCTGAATAATTTCAGATCCGATTTGAATTGGGACATGTGTGTCTATTCTCCTTGTCGTCTGGATTGTCATCTCCGATTTGTTTAGAGCAAGTTTTAAGTGGTGGCGCTTCATCCAAGTATTTATGCGTTTCATGACAAGCATTAGGTCTAATTGCGCCATTTCCAAGTTTTTTGATAATATAAGTGCTACTACGTCATCAGCAAATCCGACTAATGTCACGTTTTCAGGCAGTTGCAGGCGCAGGATGCCATCATATGACGCATTTCAGAGTTCAGGTCCTAGAACGGATCCCTGAGCAGCCCCCGCCGTTAACTTTTTCCTCCGTGGTGCTTCAGTCGTATCATAAATTAATTCTCTATTTTTAGATAATCATTGACGATACGCAAAAGATACTGTGGGACGTGAAAATCCTTTTCCAGAGCATTCAACATATCGTTCCAGTTAGCGGAATTGAAGGCATTCTTCACATTTAGTGTCACTAATAGGGCTACAGGCCTCGAGTAGTGATTTCCTTGTCGAGTTTGATTTGCAAGCATCACCACCTCCTGTATAGCGTCGATTGTTGAACGCCCTTTTCGAAAACCAAATTGTCGGTTAGACACACCTCCAGCAGCTTTGATAGCTTCTTGTAGACGCGGTTTTATCAATTTTTCCAGCAACTTGCCAGTGGTGTCCAGCATGCAAAGCGGTCTGTATGCTGATGGATCAGAGTGGAGTCCTTTTCCCTTATTTATAAGTACCAAGCATTGTTTCTTCTATCTTCTAGGAAAAGTGCCTTCTTTAAGACAGCAGTTGTACATGTTTAGTAAAAACTCTGGTTGAAAATTCGCAACTACTTTAAGTACTTCTGCCGGTATTCCATTTAGACCGGGCGATTTCTTCGTTTGCAAAGTCTTCACCGCACTTTTTAGTTCTGTCTCACTAAATAGCTCTATTTCCTCATTTAGGATATTTTTTAATTTTCTCTTCTTATTTATATGGGTTGGGAACAGTGTATCTACAATGGTTGACATTTCCTTTTCATCTTTTACTTTTTGAGTTCTAAATTTTCCTAGTTTGTTTGTCACTATTTTATATCCCAGAGCCCAAGGGTTTACATCCACTTCTGCAATGAGGTTTTGCCAACAGGCTTTTTTACTGCTTTTAATACTTCGGCTTAATAGTTTCTTGGCAACCTTATATTCAATTGATCGGCATAATCTTTCTTCCAAATTATCCTTCTTAACTCGCTGTGCCTTTCTTCTTAGGTATAAACACTTAATTCTGAGTTCAGCGATTTCCTGGATCCACCAATAGACCGCTTTTTTAGTTCCCTTTAGTTTTTCCGTGGCATCGACATATCACAAGCTGACTTCAATAAGTTCATGCTGGATTTTACTATACCCTCTGCTCTAACGTTCCGCTCTGTTTCTTTGGTTATTGCTTATGAGCCGAGAGCTATAACTGAGATTAGACAGTTAGAGTTCAGCTTTGCAGCATTCCACTTTGCTGTTGTTTTGGGCAGTTTGGGTTCTGTTTTATCTTTTATTTTGCAAATTTCAAAGGTTATATATTGGTTATCGCTGCCCGTAAAGTTTTCGATCACTTTTCACTTCTTGACATGCGCAATCATGTCTTCCGTTGCTAAGGAAATATCTGGAATTGTTCCTTTATTCCCTGCTCTTCTGAAGGTTGGTGTTTTTCCTCTATTTAGAACAACCATATTTAATCTGGCTATCATTTCCGTGATACGTCTACCTCTTGTAGAATGGATCTTTATAGTCCATTCCCCATTCCGGAGCTTTAGCATTAAAATCACCTGCAACAATCACATTTCCATCCATGCATCGTACAACATCTTTCAATTCTATAATTTTAGACTAAAAGTCTTTTATTGGCTCATTTGGTGTGAGGTAGCAGCTTATGACGGTCACCATATCGCCTTTTACCCAGACGTATCCATTTCCGCAACCATGGGTTCTAACTCTGAATTTTGTTGGATTATTTATCCATATAGCTGCCGTGCATGATATATCTGAGAACCAATTTGGGGATTTTATGTTCTCGTATTGCTCACTCATTATTATTAAATCTATCTTCTTTTCTATGATAAGTTGCCCCAAAATATCTCGTGCTATTTTACTCCTATGACTATTTGCCTGCATTATTTTAAGCTTGTAACGAAGTAAATCGTTACTTGTATAGGCAAATTTTCGTTCTGAGTCCAGTGCTATAGTTAGTGACTTTGTCTCCGTCTTTTCTATCGTTCCGTCGCATTTTTCCCAATTTTGGTATAGTCCGTTGGTCAGCGTCTTGTGTCTATCTCACCTAGTGCCCCTTCCCTGTTTGATTTCTCGTCTGTTTGATAAGAGGGAGATGTCACATGGCTTATAGCGACCCTTTCCCTTCTTTCTAATAGGTATCGTTGAAAATTCAACAAGGAAGGATTCATAGGAAAAATCATGAGGTGTGATAGGGAAGGAGTTTTCCCAAATTCGCTGCTGGTTTCCAGGAAAGCCGCGGATCGGAGGAACACTCGTCGCCTAGATATCAATCGAGCTGGTTGAGCTTTGAAGTTGTAGTTGGTTTAATTTTGGATTTTCGTGTGTACGAAAATCAGAGATATTTTTAAAGTAGAATTGTTGCCATTTTAAATATTTGTATACTTTCAATTTTAATTGCTTAACTTTCTTTATTATTAAATAAATCATTACTACTTTCCATTTTTAATTTGTAAGTGATTATTTGAGTTATTTCCCTGTTTTTGTTTGGCGTTATTGTTTCTCGAAATTTGTTGGAGATTTGGAGACGCCGTCATTACGAGTTTTAAACAAGCAGTTAAGGTTTGCCTATTGTCCAAGGAATCTGGTGATCGATGCATCGCGATTTTAATTCTCAGCAGTTCCCCCCTATTGTTGAATATTATGTTTTTTGTTAATTAGAGTTTTTGAGATTATAGTGACTGAATTTCGAGTTACCATCGATGCAATAGTTTAAATTGAGTAAATTATAAATAACTATTAATTTCCCTGTTATAAGCTCTTTAGTTCCTGCTTTGCTTTCTCAAGTTCCTCAGTAAATGCCTTACATTTTCCTGATCCGGTTACATGCGTCACTTCTATTTCACCTCTTTCTGAGCAGAGAAAGCATTTTGGGTTCTCGGTACAATTCACTACTTTGAGGTCACTCTGTCCGCATTTAAAACAAATGTCTTTTCTGTTAGATCCCTCGCATTTTTTTGAGAGGTGCCCAAAGCCAAAGCATTTAAAACATCGTACAACAATGGCTCAACGTCTAATGCGACCATTTACCCATCTTACTTTAATACGCGCGGTGTCGAGCAATTTGGTTGCCACACATTCACTAACCTCCACTACGGCTAAGATAAGTCCGCTTTTGTTCGGTTTTGTCAATCTCACTTTAAATTCTTCGGGCTTTTCTTTGGTTTGCTTTTCAAGAGCTTCTGTTTCCGTGGTTAGTGAGTCCAGGTCTCTAATCTCCAACGTTGTTTTAGGGATTCTACATTGAACAGTTCCAGTATCTCCCACTGTTACTTACAAGTGCTTTCGAGAAACCCTCGTCCAAGTTTGTATCCTTGTTTAGTTCCAGTAGAATACTTCCTGAATTAGTTCTACGAATGATTTTTATTTCCATACCCGTTTCGGCTAAATTGACTTTTTGTTTGATATTTCCCCGCGTGTTTTTATCGTTATTGTTGTCTATATCCATTTTAATTCAGTTTTAAACATTTTTCAATATTTTCCAATATTTTCTTCTAATTTTCTTATTTCTAGACTCCATCTTATGCAATGGAAGAACGTATGACAAACATCGTCTTTTTCAGTATCTCCATATGAGCATGCTGCTGTCGGACTTTTACCTATTTTATGTAAAAAAGGTCAGGAAATAGTCATGTCCCGTTAATAATTGGGTTAAATAATAATTAATCTCTCCACATTGCTGGTTCAACCATTCATCGATCCTTGGTATGAGTCTAAAGGTCCATCTACCTCTAGTCTCTCCGTTCCATCTATCCTGCCATATTCTCATACTCATTTCTCTTCCTTTTTTACGTACATCTGTCTTGCTTGTTTCTTCATCCCTGTCGTACACCATCTTTCTTTCTTGAGCCATTAAATCAATAGGAATCACTCTTGCAATAATTAGTGTAGCTGGTTCCGATACGGTTCTATAGCATGACGCTATTCTTAGCGCTCCAAGTAATTGAACTGAGGCCATTTTGCTCCTATATTTTTCCTTTTTAAAGCGTCCGCTATTAGCTCGCTACCATAAAGCAGAATAGAATTTACCACCGATAGAAGAATTTGCCTTTTTGTTGGCGATGGCCCACCAATATTTGCAAATAATCTGCTCATGTTTGCGGTTGTTTTGAGAGCTTTTTCAGATACATCTTTAATGTGCTCAAAAAATGTCAGTTTTTTGTCTATTTTTATGCCTAAATATTTCAGGGAATCCACCGTTGTCAGCTCATTATCTTTAATTTTCATGCTGATTGTTGTTTCAATTTTTTTTCGACATTAGGACAATTTCTGTCTTCTCCAGTGCTAACATTAGAAAGTGTTCCTTCATCCAGGCCAGGTAAATCAATCGGCGGATGCATCATCAGGAGATGGATGAAAAAACATCAATCGACGGGTGAAACATCCCTTAACGGATGAAACTGCTGGCGGGACACTTGCAAGGACCTGCAGTATCTTTTCACAGATGGTCACACATATCTTACTCGTCAGGGATGGAGGTCCGCCTACATTTGGCATTAACCGTGAAAGATTAGCCGCACACTCGATCGCCTTATTTGACGCCGTAGCCATGTGGTGGTGGAAGTTTAATCTTCCATCGGACTCCACACCAAGATATTTAAGTTGTTCACTCCACTTGACCTCGAATCTGCCTATCACGATTCGTGGGAGCTCATCACCACGTCTGTCTGTGACCAGCAGTGCCTCGGTCTTTTCCAGGGCCATTTCAAGACCTCTGGTATTCAGCCAGTCCACAACTGCCTGGATAGCATCAACTGTGGACTTGCCTTTATGGAAACCAAATTGGTGATCCGATAGACTATTCTCTCCGGGCAAGTGGCTTTTCATTCTCTGCAGAACCATATCCTCTAGGAGTTTACCCATCGTATTCAACAGGCATATAGGCTTGTACGATGAAACCTTATCTAGAGGTTTTTCACCTTTCCTTAGGAGGACTAACCTCTGTCGCTTCCAGTCGCGGAAGAACTCTCCTCTCTCATGGCAAAGATTTAAGCATCGAAGCAGAATCTGGGGTGAAGTGTCGATAACCAACTTTAGGATCTCATTACTTATCCCATCGATTCCAGGCGCCTTGCCCGTTTTCAGTCTTTTGCCTGCTTTTTGTAGTTCACTAAGTGTGAAGAGTTCTTCCTCTTCGACTTTGCAAAAACTCCAGTCCATTCTAAGGTATGCCTCTGCAGGAGGAAACAAAGAACTTATTATCTTTCTGACCCAATCGGGATTGTCCAGGCCGGGTGTCTTTTGCCTCGTCACTAATTTCTTAGTCACGATTTTAAAAGCCAGACCCCATGGGTCCTTATCGACTTCCTCGATTAGGTCCTTCCAGCTACGGCGCCGTGACTTGCGGATCTCTATCTTGAGGTTCTTTTTTGCCTCCTTGAAAGCCTCTTTCAGCAAGGGATCTCCCTTAGATCGGGTATATGTCCTTCTTGCTTTGAGGCACTCTTTTCTCAAGGACGTCAGAAGAGCTAGCTTTTCTGACCACCAGTGCAAGGATTTTTTCTAGGAAAGGCAGCTTTGCGACGTGGCATCGACGCATTGCAAGCGGTGACGATCATATTCCGCACCGCTCGCACCTCTCCATTCCGACTTTTCGGCCTCCTCACCCAACCAGAATCCTTAATTAAGATAGATTCTTCTAGGGACCGGCCGAACTTCTCCTTAGATTATTATTCTTAGATTTCTTATTCTGATTTTGTACAAAATAAAAAAGAATTATTTCAATAAAAAAGAAATGTTATAAATAATTTTATACAAAGCTAGAATTGCACATTTTAATATATGTATAATATATGTATAAAACTTTGGAGTATAGTATTATAATCTTAATGACTTTGACGTCAGGCTAAGATCAGGGTTGGGAACGTAAACTAGCTAAGGTAATCTACGTAGTTGTTTACATGTAGATTACTTGGTAATTTACGTCAAGAGTTTTCTACGTAATTTACATTAATGTATTTTGTCACGTGATAAAACCTGCAAAGCAAACTTTTCAAGAGGCTATGTTATGTTTTTTTTAGTCTTTTAATGGCCGTTATCTTGAAAATGTAAATTACATGTGTTTTCTACATTGTCTACGTAAATTACTTATTCTACGTAATCTACATCAGAAACCAAAAATGACACGTCATTTTCCAACCCTGGCTACGATCGCTGGGCATGACAGTAGTGACGTCATCACACACACAGGTCTATAGTAGTAGTGGTGCGGATTACTACTTTTTCGAGTAAAAAGTTCGCTCTGCAATAGTAAAAGTTGTTTCTTGCAGAAGTAATTATTAGAATTTTTACGAGTAATATTTACAACATATCGAATGTAAAGGGAATACAAAATTTAATAAAATTTACAATGATGATGTAAAAATTAAAATTCTTAAAGCAATTTTTAAAAGTGACTAGTGTTATAATTACTATTAGTAATTTTTACTACCAGAAATAGTAATATTTACTTTATGCGAAGTACATTTGACTAAAAATAGTAATTTTTAATATAAAAGTAGAATTATTACTATTCTATAGGAACTTTTACTAGAAACTCAGCATCATTTTTTTCCGTGCGCGCCAATTCCGGCACGCCAGTGTCGTCAGACAAGACTGGTGCGGTACTGCACCTATTGTCAGCAATGGTACTAATATGGAAATTTTTCATTGGGATTATGTCTAGTAATTGTAGACAAAATAATTTTCGACAAAAAACAAATGTGAACTAAATTGGCTACTTTCAGCTAACTTAAAAACGCAATTCTATGTAGTTGCTATCCTTATTATATCTAGTGGTTCTAGACAATAAATCCTTTCTAAAAAATAAACATGATTTGAATTAACCTATTTAATCTTGATAATGTCAAGTACAATCCTTTTTTAAACTCTATTATGGATCGTGTAAGTAGAAATCGCAGCCTACTGAGAGCAAGGGTAAAAAATTTCTTTCATTGAATAATGTAAATGTTTTGATACTCACAAACTATCAAGATTATTTCAAACTTTTATTGTAATTAGAGTAATCTCAAATATAATAATCAGGAAGTTTATTTTTTGATCATTATTATTAACTTATCTTAATTTTTGTGTTTAAGAAGGTTATTTTATTTTATTTTATTTTATTTTATTTTATTTTTTAACAACTGAAAATTAAATTAATATGAAAATAGAAGGTTATTTATTTTATCTTTTGGAAAAAACACTAAAAAAAGTAGTATTTTTATTTACATGTGCACTTAAAAACATAACGTTCTAGAATATTTTCTAGAATTCTAAAAATAATCTAGTTATTCTGTAAAGTATTTATACAATTTCAACTGTCTAACAACTAATTGTCTGAAGGGTTACAAATGACAATAGGCACAATATAGAAAACTGTCTAGAAACAATAAAGAATCAAGTACTACTATACAGAACCAGGAAACTTCCATGACAAATTTCCACACGCATTTTATTGAAAATTCTGATGATTAGACCATGACGATTTTGTGATTCCCTGTGCAACTTTCGTGCTTTTAACAATAAAAAGCAAAAACAATTTTTTAAATTAAATCTTAAATTTTTAATTAAATCTCTTTTGGTAATTTACTTAGGAGAGTTTATTAGTGCTTTTTAGTTTTTACTAATGTTAAGTAATGTTTCTATTTGATCATTTATGTAAACGTAATTTTAAAAACAAGAATTAACAACAAAAATATTAAAAAATAAATTTTTCTCTTCACAAAATATCCAACTAAATTCTAAAGAAAAACGAATGACATTATTGTGTAAATAAATATACAAAATATTAGCGAAAAACCATTAATAAAATTAATGCCTGTGAAATGTCTAATAATTGTTCACTTTTGAATGAAATACAGTTGAAAACTTGATCCATTTATCCGAAACGAAATTTTGATAGAATGGAAAAGATCCCATTTAAATATGAAAAAACATAATAAAATTAATTGCCCCGTGGACAAAAAATCATGTTTGTTAAGGTGCATACTGTGTATCAAATTAGTTTTGAAAAATTAGTGGAATAAAATTCATAAGTGTTTTTTTATCGTACCATCAACTGAGGCTATTTTGTGCACCAAATAGCTTTCTTTCACTCAAAGATTTATTAAAATTCAGAATTAAAAGAAAATAGAAAATCAACTTTTGGTATATGTTGTGGACATTCTTCTGAAGGTTTTCTATAAATTTGGCAAAGAAAAAATTTTTTTGTCTGAGTTATATAGTCATTGAAAGTTGTGTACACAATAGCTCCTGGGATGGGGCTATTTTGTGCATTGAACTTTGTCTTTCTATAATGTTACGTAAACATTTTTTTAATCGTTTATGCTTTATTAAATCTTTTGTGTATATATTTCAGAGTAAATTAAAAAAAGAATGACCTAGTAAATTTTTTTTGTAGATATTATACAAAAAAAATGTAAAATAAAACACTAAGATTTTTCTAAAGTCTGGATTTACTAAAAATTAACAATCTTTCTTTAAATTATGTATTACGCAGATAGTAATCAAGTAATTTTAAGAGAAACGGGGGTAATAGTTTTAAAACTAATTTGAAAAACTTATATATATTAATTAAAATTCATTTTTAGGGTTCCGTACACCATAGGTGTACTGACGGAACCCTTATGAAATCACTCGTGTGTCCGTCCCAGCCACGCAAAATGGGCTGTCCCCCCCCCTAACTTCGACAAATCTCAACCTGGTGAGTTGAAATTCGTCTCGAATTCGGCAGGGATCTTCAGTTTTAAGTGCAGATTACAGGAAAAATATAGCGAACCCGATTAACAAACATATTTGCGAACTAGGAGGGAAAGAAATTCAATTTTTTCGAAAAAAATGCTAAAATGACCCTGTTCCCCCCCTTAACTTTTACAAATCTCAACCTAGTGAGCTGAAATTCGGTAGGGATCTTCAGTTTCAAGTGCAGATTACAGGAAAAATATAGCGAACCGGATTGACGGACATATTTGCGAAGTA